GGGGACCGGGCCGCCCAGCTCCCCGGCCGCCCGGCCCCGGGCAGCCGGCCGGGGATTTTAGAACACTTGGAGGTGGAGACCAAAACGCGGACTAGCGAAGGGAAGCGAAGACAGACGGACGGGCAGACAGACGGATGGATGGATGGACGGACGGGCAGACAGACGGATGGACAGACGGATGGACGGGCAGACGGGCAGACAGACAGCGCAGGCCCGGGCTCTGGAGGCAGATGCAGGGAGCACTCACCAGCGCGAATGTTCACAAGTGTTCATGAGTGTCCATGGGTGTTCATGCGTGTCCATGAGTGTTCACAGTGTTCATGAATGTCCATCGGTGTTCACAGGTGTCCATGTGTGTCCATGAGTGTTCACAGTGTTTGTGAGTGCCCATCAGTGTTCACAGGTGTTCACGGGTGTCCATGAGTGTTCGCAGTGCTTGTGAGTTTCCATCAGTGTTCACAGGTGTTCACGGGTGTCCATGAGTGTTCACGGTGTTCACGAGTGTCCATAGGTGTTCACGGGTGTTCACAAATGTTTATGAGTGTCCATGGGTGTTCACGGTGTCCATGTGTGTCCATGAGTGTTCATAGTGTTCGCAAGTGTCCATGGGTGTTCACGAGTGTCCACAGGTGTTCACGGGTGTTCACAAGTGTTCATGAGTGTCCACGGGTGTACCAGGGTGTTCATGGGTGCTCGTGGGTGCTCGCAGGTGTTTGCGGATGTTCACAAGTGTCCATGGGTGTTCACAGGTGTTCATGAGTTCTGGGGGAGAGGGGAGGCGAGGCGGGCTGGCCAAACTCACCAGAGGACCCCCCCCTCCCCTCCCCCTCCCCGCTCCCCCCTCTGACATGGGGACACCTGTGTCCGTGTGACTGTGACTGCGTGTCGTGTCACTGCTCCACCCTGTCGCTGCTCCACCCAGCCAGGCCCTCTCCGAGCGAGGTATTTTACTTTGCAAACAAAGGAGTTATCTTCCCTGGCGAAAAACAGTTTTCTATGATGCGTACCCTCCTTTACGCCACCCTTGCCTGGATCCCAGCGCACACTTACCACTCGGGCAATTGAACGGGCTCAGAAGGAGGGCCCCTGTTTGTCTTTTATGGAGAGGGAGCACAAGTAGCACAGTGCCTTCGTGCTTTTTTCCTTCCGTGAGCTTTTCTTTTTGCTGGTCCTAGAACTTGAACTCAGGACCTGGGCACCATCCCTGAACTTTTTCTGCTCAAGACCAGTGTTCTACCACTTGAGTCATGGCTCCACTGCCAGCTTTTTTAGTGGTTAATTGGAGGTAAGGATCTCATTTAGGCTTTCCTGCCCCAGTTGGCTTGGAACGTGATCCTCAGGTCTCAGCCTCCTGAGTAGCTAGGATGACAGACATGAGCACCTGGCTTGGCTCTCATTCATAGTCATAACTCTGAGTTTATCACCACACAAAGTTCAGTGTCAGGAGAAACAGAATTAAGGTTTAAATTCAAGGAAGTTTCAAGCTGTTGAATGCAGTGCTTTAATTGGAGTTGTTTCTGAAAATCCACACGTGGCTTTGTGAGTCCATTGCCTCCTACCAGTTTGAGAGTACAGTATGTGCAATATGGCCAGATGGAAAACAGGTTCTGCTTGACTTTAGAGAGGACTTTGGATCTTAGCCGGGCCTGCTGACTATGGGGGAGTGATGTGTCGTTTCAGGGGTGCTAGGACAGACGGCAGGGAGGGCGGCCTGTTGTGGCTCCGGCCTTGCTGTTGAGATCCTGGCCCAGGTCTGCACGGGGAGTGGTCTAGAGCGGGCTGCGGGCCTTCTCTCCTGCAGGGCCGGGAGGTGGCCCAAGGAGCCCTGCCCTAGGTGGGGAAGGCTGAGTAAACATAGTTTGGACCCTTGGTACTCATCAACATTTTTTCCATCAGAGCCAGCGTTAATGACAGATTTCCAGTGAGACCCTGGACTTTTGGCCCTGTCCCATGTGGCGGCTGGACAGGAGTGAGTCCTCCTTTGGCCTGTGACCTCTGCCCCAGCCCTGCTCTCAGAGGTACTGTTTTCTGACCTAAGAAGCATTGGACTTAGCAGCCGCAGACTGTTGTTTCTTGGAAATGTATGTTGCTAGACTCCTGATGTATCCGAGGCCCCTGGTATGAAACCTGGGTGTGAGGAGGGGGAGCCAGGCCCGGGAATTCACACCGCCCTTGCACTGACCGGAGGAAAGTCGTTTTGGTTTGATTCTCTCATTTAAAGCAGAGTGTGAGGCCGTCTGGAGGGCGTGGGGGCCGTCAGCTTTATATCCCATCACTCCCTACTGGCTGCCCTTGTTTCTGTCTCTGTTGAGCCATTGGAGGTAAAGTTCCTCTTAGGACCCACAAGGCACTTTGTCCAGAGCTGGGCTATACCTGGCTCACATCAGGAGCCAGCATCCTAAGAGCCAGGGGTGGAGGGGAGGGCAGGAGACGAGTTCCTGCGGAGGTCCCCAGGCAGCTGAGGTTCTCATCCAGGCAGATGTTTATAAAGATGGGCCTGGTGAAAGACACATGCCCTGTAGAGGAGATGTGCCCGCTTGTCCCCAGAGGGGAGGACGTGTACCCACCCTGTGGGAACATTCTCAGCCTCTGAAGGTCATGTAGCCCAAGAGCTCAGGTGGCCCAGGTCCCTGCCAGCCTGCTGGGTGGTCCCCACAGGATTTGGATCTGTGAGGCCAGTGTTCCCAGGCGGCAGGGAGGGGCTGGAGGGAGCCTTCGGCAGCCGCCAGTGTGGGTTAGATGCGTGTTCCCTCAGGAGTTAGCTCTGGGGTGCTTTGTAAAGCCCTCTGCCAGCTTTGTCCCTTCAGCTCACGGGTGCCTGAGGACCTTCCAGGCCGTGTGTGTGTGTGTGTGTGTGTGTGTGTGTGTTGGGGCTCCCTGGCCGCCTCCTGGAGTAGTTCCTTGCATGTTGACTTCAGGGAGTAAACACGCAGGGGACAAACCATCCCAGGGGATGGACTTCCCGAGTCCAGAGGGCCCTTGGCGAGCTGGCTGGGCGGGGTGGCCAGACCAGAGCTGTTGATCCTGGTGTTCACCCGTATGAGGCCAGCAGCCTGAGGGTGGTGGCCCCCTGCTCTGGCTTCCCTGTGGGGCACGTTGGAAGTTGGAAGGTGGCTCTGGGCTCAGACAGGCCTGAGTTCTGGCAAGTTCTCTCTGGTTGCAGACGAGCTGCCCCAGGGTTTCTGGAGCCTCTGTGCTGGCATCTGAGCACTCTGCCAGCACCTTGCATTTCAAGAGGCACCAAGGAGGGAGGGCATCTTTCACATAGGGCCAACCCTGGGGGACTCTGAACTTGGACGGGGCTCAGGACCCGGGCCTTGGTGAGCCTCCTCCTGTGCTGGCAGGTGCGGGTGCCGCGGGCTGAGCTCTGCGTGCCTGGCCCGCCCGAGGCCGGCCTTGAGTAGCGTGAGGTCACGAGGACCGGGCCCTCCTGGCTCTCAGCTGTTCCCACAGCTCCGGGAGGTTTGGACGTGTGGGCCAAGCAAAGCAAGGCACAGTGTTTTCAGCTGCAGCATGGCTTGCATACATGGGCGGTTTTTCCTGGTGGCTCCTTAGACCCCTGTGTAGATGCTTGTTTCCGTTCTGTCCCTGGAGAGGATGGGTCCTGTCCCAGGCCCTGAGACTTCCGGTCACTGCTGCCTCCCCTTGTCTCAGAATCTTCCCAGGCATGGCTCCCCAGGAACTCTCTCAGCCTCCCTCCCTCCATGCTCCCCGCTTCCCAGGCATGGCTCCCCAGGAACTCTCTCAGCCTCCCTCCCTCCATGCTCCCCGCTTCCCAGGCATGGCTCCCCAGGAACTCTCTCAGCCTCCCTCCCTCCATGCTCCCCGCCTCGGCCTCAGGAGTGCTGCTGTTAACCTGCTTTCTGCCGAGGCACAGTCTAATACGTTGGGACTTGGAAGGTGGCGTCCTAGACAGTTCTGACACATTCTGTTTTGTCCAAGCAGAGACTGAGGAGTCTGTCCACAGTAGGCCCCATCAGGCCACCTTGCTTCCTGGCTGTGTGAAGAGGAGGTGGGGAGACGCTCTACAGTGCTTAGGGGTCTTAGCCCATAGTCCATGGGCTCCCAAGGCTGGCTCCATTCCTTTGCCCTTGCTCAAGGGCTGGCAGAATCTCTACAAGCCAGGGCCCTGTGCAGATACCTCGCTGACTGGCTGTGGTGAGGACTGGGGCTGTGTAATCACCTGAGCCAGTGGTGGCGAGGACTGGGGCTGTGTGATCACCTCAGCCAGTGGTGGTGAGGAGCAGGGGCTGTGTGATCACCTCAGCCAGTGGTGGTGAGGAGTGGGCTGTGTGATCACCTCAGCCAGTGGTGGTGAGGAGTGGGCTGTGTGATCAACTCAGCCAGTGGTGGTGAGGAGCAGGGCTGTGTGATCAACTCAGCCAGTGGTGGTGAGGACTGGGGCTGTGTAATCACCTGAGCCAGTGGTGGTGAGGACTGGGCTGTGTGATCACCTCAGCCAGTGGTGGTGAGGACTGGGGCTGTGTGATCACCTCAGCCAGTGGTGGTGAGGACTGGGGCTGTGTGATCACCTCAGCCAGTGATGGTGAGGACTGGGGCTGTGTGATCACCTCAGCCAGTGGTGGTGAGGACTGGGGCTATGTGATCACCTCAGCCAGTGGTGGTAAGGAGTGGGGCTGTCTGATTACCTCAGCCAGTGGTGGTGAGGAGCGGGCTGTGTGATCACCTCAGCCAGTGGTGGTGAGGAGCGGGCTGTGTGATCACCTCAGCCAGTGGTGGTGAGGACTGGGGCTGTCTGATTACCTCAGCCAGTGGTGGTGAGGAGCAGTGCTGTGTGATCACCTCAGCCAGTGGTGGTGAGGAGCAGGGCTGTGTGATCACCTCAGCCAGTGGTGGTGAGGAGCAGGGCTGTCCTCCACCTGAGCCAGTGCAGAAGGGCAGCCTGGGCAGTAAGTGCTCTTCTTCCCCCGGCTGCCCACTCTGTCCTCTGTGATTAGGATCCGCACACCTTCCCTAGCAGTGCATGTCCTGTGTACGCCAGGCCCAGTCTCTGGGGGAGCATCACCCTGAAGGCAGGGGCACACAGCCTCTGGGGGAGCATCACCCTGAAGGCAGGGGCACACAGCCTCTGGGGGAGCATCACCCTGAAGTTGGGGAGCAGTGGCCAGATGTGATTGTCCTGCAGTGGCTTGGTAGCAGCAACCCCACCTGACTTCTTTATTGACGTACCCATCTAGTGCCTTACACAAAAACTGGTAGAAGTGAAAATAAGCTGTAGATGCCTTGGGTTAGGTCAGCGGGTACAGCCCCAGCCCTTCTGGCCTCAGTGCACAAAGCTCTGTCCTGGACAGAATCAGGAAGGTGAAAGGTATTAATTAGGACCAGTGCCCTCAGCCGGCCCCTCAGAGTACCCAGGCCTGAGGGTGCGTGTGAGTCAGGGCGAGCAGGCTGGACAGGCTTGCCTGTCTAGAGGAAAGCTCACCACCCAGCATGTTCTTCCCAGCTTAGGCCTCTGGTTGCTTCTCTAGGGAGCTTTCTGCCTTCCAGGTGCTGGGGTTTCTGAGCTCAGGTCTGACTCTACTTTGACTCCTCATGCAGAGCTTGCTGGCTTTGCTCGGCCGTCCTTGATCCTCCCCCTGCCCTTCCCTGGCCCGTCCTCCAGAGCTGAGCTCCCGCTGTGACGACAGTTTCCCTTAAACGTCTCAGCCTGTGGCTGTGCCCAAGGCCTCTCTGCGGAGTGCCTGTGGTACCCAGCAGATCCATGCATGCAGCCTCTTCCTGTCCACCTTCTGCCTCCCCGGGTTCCACCACGAAGGACAGTAGCCCACATAGAGTGCCTGGGCACACTGGCCATGGGACACCGACTGGAACCGGGGTCCCAAGATCTGCTGGGAGAGGGAGGTAGACTAACTGGAAGCCTTGGACACAGCCTGCCAAACACCTGGGATATTGGATGTGCCCCACACCTGAATTGGATGAGGTGACCTATGTAACCCAGCTTTAACATCTACGTGGCTCATGTGGCTGCTGGGGAGCCTGCAGGCACTGGGCTCAGCCCGATCCCAGAGCAGGCTCCAGGTGGGTCTCAGTCCAAGGGGGAGATGGGTGTGGGGGGCTGCAGCCATCTCCCAGCGGATGCTTCAGCCTCACCGGGAGGAGAGCGGTTCACCCAGGCTCCTTCCTTCTGGAAGGAGGTGGCACCCGTGGGTTTTTGCCAAGTTGTCCTGACTCTCAGCTCTTCCTTGCAGGTAGTGCCAGTGTCTCTCCTCTCCGGGGTCCTGTGAGGGCCTGGGCAGCATGGTGCCCTCGGACCAGGCTGTGGAGAAGCAGGTGTCTGAGGAGCCTGTTCTGGGCCACCAGCTCCAGTCATGGCAGTGTCTGGTGTCCTACCTCTGCTTCTACGGCTTCATGGCACAAATGCGGCCTGGGGAGAGCTTTATCACACCTTACCTCTTGGGGCCGGAAAAGAACTTCACCAAAGAGCAGGTATGTGGGTAAGGCCAGATAAGAACTTCACCAATGAGCAGGCACGTGGGTGGGCCCTGACAAGAGCTTCACCAATGAGCAGGCACGTGGGTGGGCCCTGACAAAAACTTCACCAGTGAGCAGGCACGTGGGTGGGCCCTGACAAGAGCTTCACCAGTGAGCAGGCACGTGGGTGGGGTCGACAAGAGCTTCACCAATGAGCAGGCACGTGGGTGGGCCCTGACAAGAGCTTCACCAGTGAGCAGGCACGTGGGTGGGGTCGACAAAAGCTTCACCAGTGAGCAGGCACGTGGGTGGGCTTATGGTGGCAGGGAAGCCTCCAGGTAGGACTGGGGAACTACTGTTGGATGCTGGGGTAGTCCAGTGGTTGCAGACCCTAGCCAAGGCCCTGAAGGGGCTGGGCTGCGTCCGACTCGCCTCACCCTCCAAGCAGTTGGGCTGAGGGTCCAGGCATGTTAACTGAGTGGGGTAAAAGCTGCCCCTGGGCTCTCTTGTGGGTGCCGGCCCCTGCCCTTGCCAGGCAGATCATTTGCCATTTTGGTCAGAAAGCCCGTGTATGTCCAGCCAGCTGCCCCCAGCCCAGCTGGACACCTGCCTCCAGCAAAGACTTAACAACTGTTTGCAAGAAGAGATTATTGAAGGAATTTTCCTCCTTCCAGCCAGGGAACAGAGAGTTTTATTGAAATCTTAAGAAGCTTATCTCAAGGGGAAGCCACGCTGTGCACAGCGCGCTCTCCCTGGGCTGCTTGTTCTCCAGGTCCACTGCAAGCTACATTTAATAGGGCAAAAGGAGGTGAAGGACACCCCCCCACACGGGCCCTCCGTGGCCTCTGGGGACCAGCATGGGTACCGTGTGGAGTTGGTGGTGGTGGACAGCGGAACCTGAGCCACCCCCTAGGATGTATAATATATATTATACACACACAAGTGATTTGAGACGCGACATACGTTGACTGTTGATTAGCATTGACTTTTTGGTGGTATATGTAATTAACACTTCTGTGGTGTTGCAGTTTTCTGTGCTTAATAACACCGATTTTCCTTGTGGTGTATGTAGTTAATGCTTTCCTGTGATACTTGCGGCTCTCTGTGGGCAGATGCTTGCTTGTGTGCCCGGGGTCTATGGCTGCTCAGCCCAGTTGACTAGATTCTCAGACCCCCTACATCCTGGACAGGCTGGGACAGGGAGAAGCCGCCTCGGGTAGGGGAGGGGCTCACGGGTGTCCACAGCCCGCTGCAGGCGTGGGGTTGATTGGAGGAGGGCAGGTCCTTGCTTGGCCATCACTGACGGCTGGCCCCGCCCATGTGCAGGTGACCAATGAGATCATGCCCGTGCTGTTCTACTCCTACCTGGCCGTGCTGGTGCCCATCTTCCTGCTGACCGACTACCTGCGCTACAAGCCGGTGCTGCTGCTGCAGGGCCTGAGCTACGTGTGCGTGTGGGTGCTGCTGCTGCTGGGGGACTCGGTGCTGCACATGCAGCTCATGGAGGTCTGCTTCAGCGTCACCATGGCCGCCCGCATCGCCTACTCCTCCTACATCTTCTCCCTCGTGCGCCCGGCCCTCTACCAGCGCATGGCCAGCTACTCGCGGGCTGCGGTGCTGCTGGGCGTCTTCACCAGCTCGGTGCTGGGCCAGCTGCTGGTCACGGTGGGCCATGTGTCCTTCTCCCTGCTCAACTACATCACGCTGGCCTTCCTCACCTTCAGCCTGGGTCTCACCGTCTTCCTGAAGCGCCCCAAGCGCAGCCTCTTCTTCAACCACAGCGCACCGGCCCACAGCGCCGCCCCCTGCGAGCTGGACCAGATGCGCCCGCGCCCCTGCCCGGGGCCCGGGAAGCTGGGCCGCTTGCTGGGTGCCTGCAGGGACTCCTTCCTGGTGCGCATGCTGTCCGAGCTGGGGCACAGCGTGCGGCGGCCGCAGCTGCGCCTCTGGTGCCTCTGGTGGGTCCTCAGCTCCGCCGGCTACTACCTGGTGGTGGCCTACGTGCACATCCTGTGGAATGTGGTGCACCCGGTCACCGACAGCGCCCAGGCCTACAACGGCGGCGCCGACGCGGCCTCCACACTGCTGAGTGAGGCGCCGCTGCCCCCCGCCCTCCCCCCGCCCCGCCCCGGGGGCCATGGTCTGAGTG